GGCTCCCCACGCCGCGCTGTACGGGGGAGGGTTTACCGGCTCTCTGCCAGCTGCCAGGCCTCTTGCAGAGGGAAGAGGAGTCTGACAGTGCCCGGGGCCATGTCCCGTAGGCAGGGAGATCAGAACCAGCGTGTCTGCGCAGAAACGGCTCTGGGGAGCTCTGTGTAGCTCTTAGACAACTTTCTTGTTTAATCCAGTATCACAGAGACGGGAGTTCTTAGCTCCAGGGACAACCGTTAGTTATTTTTAACTGCAAGAAGTTAAGCTCCTTTTCGCAAAGGATTCAGACTGAAGCAGTTTCATAAGCTTGAGCTCCTGGGTCTGAGCATGAAGGACTAACAGTTTCTTACAGATTATGCTAAGAGCAGGTCTCATCTGGTAAAACCCTTTCAGAAAGTCCCTTGACTAATGTTATTTTCAGAGAATTTGCTTTCTGATGAGCAGTGATGAGAGGATGCTCTTAGCTTTGTCCTGTGAGTACTGTGAGAACTTGTTTTGTTCAAATGATCTCGTATTTAGTGCCTCAAGACTGGCATTTCTATTTTATACCCACTAGTGCACCTCTCACTTATTTCTGATAACAAAAAGATATAGTGTAGTTTTTTGATTGTTAGCACTGCTCTTCGTTCCAACCAGTGCTGTCATACAGCATTTGCATTTGATTCCTCATGTCCAGTTGCCAAGGTAGCAGGCACAAAAGCAAATGGCATGAGCTTTGGAGAAGGCCTTAAGGATCCTTTGGGACATAAGGTCCTGGAGAAACACAGTGTTGTCTTGAGGATATACTTGATTACTCGAGCCAAAGGCAATGGGGGTGTGTGCATGCGTGTGTGTGTAGGTTTAGTTTTCTTAATTAAAACAACACTTTCTGCAAATTTAGAGGAGCTGGTGGTGGTGTCACCATGTTGAACAGTGTGACAGCTTCCCACTCTTACTAAATATCTATCTATCTATCTATCTTGCCCTTTTTCTCGCCACTCTCCCAGTAAAAGGGCAGTAACCCTTAGTGCTTAACATGTGGCACTGGAATTGCCTGAGCCCTACTCCTGAGTCACAATTGAGCCTTTTGGAGTCTTCCTGCCCGGGGAAGGAAGTGGAGGGCAGTTTTGACTTTGACTCAATATTTCTTTTGGATGTAGTAAAAACATTCGTATTCCTTAGTCATATTTTGAACTTCTGAGCATCCTGATAGTATCGCAACATAAATTTGGATGCTTAAAAAGAGCATTAAAGCAGAGGTAAGTTTGTCCTAAATATCAGCCTCTGAATCAAATGACTTTTATTTGGCTTTTTGATGTGAGTTTTTTCATGTTTACTGTTTCCTCTGTGAGATTGTCTTGTCTCTATTCAGACAGCTACAGTTTTTGGGTGCAAAATATTTGACAATACATCTGAGAGAAGTAAGCAATGGTGCTAGTTCTTAGCATAAAGAATTTTGAGACTGGCTGGTTTCTCAGGAGCAGTGATTGACACTCCGTGTTCTAACTGTGTTCTGTATGTGGTTTTTATGAGAAGTCCCCTGCAAGTGGTTTGTCCTGAGGCTGCTGCTCTGCTTCATGCTTCCATTTATGTTGTTCACCCTTCCTCTGGCTTTACAGTAAAATGTTTTCACAGGATGGAGATAGAGCACCTGCAGAGGCTGCGTCAGGCCAACCAGGACCTTCTGCAAAGGCTCAGAACGAAGCAAGAAGAGATCAGAAAAAGACTTTCCAGCAAACCATCTCTTGACAACAAAACAGCTACTGAAAGCTCTGTCCCCTTGCCAACAAGAAGGGTACGTGTTGTGTCTGTGCTAGAAGTGCTGGGAAGTAAATGGACCTTGTCTGAAGGACAGCAGCTCTGCCTATGGAGTGATGCAGTGAAGGAGACAGATGGACACGGAGGAGCTGGTAGAAAGTAGAATGTGGAATATAGAATCACAAAAGTAGCTGTTTATTGCTTATCCTGTGGTCTCCACCATGTTCCTGCAAAGGGTTCAGAGATCAGTTCCTGCCTGAGAAATGTAGGTTTCTTAATCTAAGATACGAATGAACTTTGTGGAACATAATCTTTTTATTTCTTCTAAGCATGAAGGATGAAAGTTTAGTGGTTCCTCAAATTGGGAAAAGCTGCATTTATCTGGAAGTAGATCCCTTTCTTATCTTCTCCAGGCACTTAAATAATCATGAATAATGTGTGGGTTTGCTTTTCTCCCCCACAGGAATGTAAAGGGATGAGCAGACTAGAATGAGAGGTTGATTTTCTGTTACTGAGTGAAGTGTCCTAGCAACAGGTGTTTGTAGTCTCAATGATGCCACATGGTGTGAGAGTCTCTGTCCTTACAGAAGGAAAATCAGGCTGATGCTGTGGAGCCTCCAGCTGACCCTGCTATGTTGGTGTCTGTGGAACCTGGAGCCTATGCAGCCAGAGCAGCCCTCTGTTCATCTCTTAAACGCAGCAGGAACAGCAGAGGGGTACAGCAACAAGAGAAGATGCAGGAAGCAGTAGCTTTGGATTCCAGCTTTCCTGGGAAAGAGAAGAATGTTATGCCAGTGACTGCAATCATTACCTGTGATAAAGAAACCTCTGGCGTGGAGAGGGGTGGTCATGCCCAAGACAGTCCAGAGAAAGAATCCTTCCCTCCGGGACATGGAGAGAACAGAAAACAGCCTACTCTGCTAGATGGCTTCCATGAGAAGAAACAGCTTGAGAGTCATCTGGCCACATCACTGAGCAGCAGCCAAGGTGAAAAGACCAGCAAGCAGCATGTGGTTGTTAGAGAGCCTGTAGTTCGTAAATCAGTCTTGCTGAGATCTCAGTCCCAAGAGTCAAAGGTAAATGGGGTTTTTGCTTATTTTCATCAGTCAATAGAAGGATGGGGAGAAAGGCTCAGGAGAACATTACTTGCTCTGTTCTCACTGTGCAAATTGGAAGTTGGGGTCAGAGCTGTTCCCAGCCTTAGCAGCTGGGGGCTTGTGGCAGTTTGTTCAGGCCCTGCTTTCCTTAGCCCTTGAACTGAAGACTGCAGCACTTCACTGTGAGACTCCTTGTCCTCTGTGTATGTGATTCACATCTCAAAGAGAACAACCTGGTGTGGTGCTGCTGCCACGTAGCTTGTTTCCATAGGTGTGAAGGGCAGATTATTGCTGTGATCTTCCTCCAAGTCAGCAGAGGTGGCCTGATGTTTGGGGATGTGTGATGCAGGGAGCATTTTGTTTAAAGCCCTGACAAATTCTGCCTTTCCCTGGGCAAGTCCCCTGCCTCCTCTTTCTGTTTTATTACTTGAGAAAACAAAGGGCTGCTGAGCAGGTTACTGGTAGAGGCATAGATAGAATCCAGCCACAAACTAAGCCACAGCTGTTCCATTTGAACAGCTGGCAGTTGTCTCCTAATCTGTATCTTTGAATGTTTGCTAGTTGTGTAGGAAGTCTTTAGGAATTGTTTTCTTCCCAGAAGGAAGCTGGTCATGTCACTTTTGAGTCTGACCCTGAAGAATATACCATACCTGTGAGCACCTGGTCCGTGCATCCTTTCCTGGGCTACGACTGGATTGCAGGTGAATCCTAAACATGAAGCAAAGCTCTCAGTATGTTGTAGTAATATCACAACTTAAGACACAGTTTACAGCCCCTTTAAGTTGAGGTGTGGCAGAACTGCAGCCCTAGAGCCCATGTAGAAGGTCTCAGCAGAGGAGATGTAGTTTTGTCAGATGTCATTCCTTGTCCCTGGAATGTGGCAGCAAATGTCAAAGCTGAGTGGGGTCAGAGTGGACACCAAATAAAGAAAATGAATGAATGCAATAATGGACCCAAATCATGCAGTAAATCTCTGGTTTGACACGATGGCGTGTTTTTCTTAGTATCCATTTTGGTGCTTCAGACCTTTGTTTTGACTGTTTGGTGTGAGGCTTGCTTTGGTGCTTTTCTATGTTTGGTAAATCCTTGACCTTTTCTCTTTCCTTGGTGCACTCAGGGCTTCTAGATACAAGCCCTTCAGTAGCAGAAAAATCTGACCAATACTTCGCTGAGCTGCACGAGTTCCGACAGGTCAACAAAGAAGAATGTATTCATGAGCAGCACCCAGAGTAAGTGGGTATGGGGGAAGGGCTGAAGCAGCAATGTATCTCTTCAGAGTAATGAGAAGTATAGACTGATTGGAGTGGGAAATTGTAAGGGTGGCTTTGTAGGCCTTTATTTCCCTCCCAGTCAGAAATGTGTGTTTTGAAAAGGTGAGGCTGTTGAGAAAGCCTGCCCCCCTGACACTAACTGATTTGTTTGCATGTTTCTTTAGGCCCAGGGCTCTGGACTACATAGATCCTGAACAAGAACCAGATTTGATAACCAGTTCCCATAAGTGTAAGATCATATGTCTTCCTAATCTGATTCCTGTGAACAAACAACTGAGCAGTCTTTGCCTGTCATTCTGAGAAAGCCCTATATCATGCAAGACAGGGAAGAATGTGTTATTTTTAGCTGCAGCTTCTAAACCGGCTTCAATTTCCTGGTCCAAAGATGCTTGAATCTTCTAGGGATCCCCTCTCCATCAGTGTCATCTTACTTTGTCAGGGTTTCCTGTATTGGCTGATCTTTTTTTAACTTCAGGAGGTTGAAGTTCTGATTTTGCTTTTTAGGAACTTATTTGGGGACAGGAAATGTAAAAGATATTTCAGGAAAAATGTAAAAGATATTTCAGCTCTTTCTATAGAATGCATGTGTGACACTGTGGTAGAACACAGCTTTATTGAGTGGATTGAGAAGCCTTCTGACAAACTAGCAAGAAATATCATGATGGTGTGTTACTCTATGGCAGGTGTTTACTGTTACCGGTTAAACCAGCGCCTCTTCCCTGTCCCTGTGGATTCAGAGTCTGCCTGCCCCGTGTGTAAGATCCCACGTACTCACTGGCCCTCAGAGAAATTGGGAGAGCCAGCCTATGTCAGGTAAGTGAGAATGATTGCTTTGTAATATGCGGAATTCAAGGAAACAGTAGGGAAGAAAAAGCTGATGATGTGAGGGAAAAAACAGCACCAAATTGCTCTGAAGACGGTTGCTGTTCTCTCTCTTGCTTTAAAACTCCTCGCTGATCTTTTCCATAAGCAGAAACAGTTTTGAAGTCAGTGAGAAATGAATGTTTTATCTGAATTTGCTCCAGAATCTGAATGTACACGTTAAGTGTCTAATGCTGTAATCCAGAACTGTTTCACTTGGTTCACTTTGGGATTAGACCCTTGGATTCTGAGCGGGGCAGGCATGCAAATTTCCTTTGCCTTTTAGAAAGTGTAGGCAATTACTTCCATTGTGTGGTTGCAGGGTCAGCATTCCCAGGTCTACCCTTATGCCTGCCTACAAACACAAAGCCCATCGCAGGAAGAGCTTTCAACCAGAAGACAGTCTAGCGTTACCTTCGGTAAGTTGCTGTCTTCTTATTGATACTGATGGCACAGCCCAGGCTGTACGCTGTTTTACAGCACAAGAAGGAAAGAGAATCTGGGACTCACCCCCCTGGCAGGGTTTCCACTAAAAGTTCTGGTCTGTGTCACTGAGATAGCAAGAAAAACCACTGGTGTGTGCTTCTGAGTCCATACCTTTGTGTAACTGGCATAAAGTATATGACACATCTCCAAATGCTTTACACTGAGAAAAAGTGCCATATGGAGCTGTATACTTCTGAGGCATGATTCAGCTGACTTATTTCAGTCATTGACATTTCAACATGATGAACCAGACCTTAAGAGTGCCTGTGTTTCTTTCCACAGATATTAGGGATTCTCAAAGACAAGTTTCCATGAAGTATTCACAGTGTATTGCACATGGGCCAGGCAAAATCAATAATGGCAAGGGTGGTTTTAAAACTGTATTAGTAGAGTTGGTCTTGTGTTCCAGCCACTAGGCAATGCTGCAGGCAGTATTACTAATCAGACCTAGCCCTGGCCTAGGCATTTCCAGGGAAGATGTAAGAAGAAGCCTGGTTTTGAGGTTTAGGGAACTGGACAAGAGGCCGGTTGCCTGAGTTTACAAAGCAGGAGATGGGTTTAGAAATAATTAGTGAAAGGTAGAAGAGGGGACAACAGCAGTTCTGCTTCATTAGAGATTTCTTCTCTTTCCTGCTAGTCATATAAAACTCCAAAAATTAACTACTTGCTCAAACCTCTCTGTTCAGACGTGATTACTTAGAACTAACAGGCCACAATAGGTTAAAAAGGGTAAAGCACTCCAATGCAGCACTCCCATCTCTTCACAGCACTGCCTGGCTGGCTGGAAAAATATCATCCCTTCCCGCAACCCCATGCTCAGCAGTTTGGATCTGCGAGCTTCCTTGGAAGAGAAGCCTCCTCACCATCCTCGCCTGGTAAGAATAGCCTGTTAAGTCCCCCTGGAGCACTGTGAATTGCACAGACAAGAATTGCAGTCCTGTCTCTCTAAAGAGCATCATAATCATTGGTGGCTGAGCAAGTGAAAACGCCTGGAAGATTTTCTCCTGGTCTACATAGGGAAACATTTTCCTTTGATGCTGTGTAAACTAGTGTGTGCAGACACAAAACAGCAAATGGAGCTGGAGAACTGGCAAGAGCCTCTTCAGCAACCCAGTCTTGATCGAATGGGAAAAGTCTGGTATTCTATTAATACCCTCTTCATTTGGATTCCAGAACTTGGTGTCCAGAGTGTCAGGAGGAAACAGAACTGACCAGCTTCTGAACCTGACCCGCTTGGCACACTTCAGATTTAGCAGTGCTGCTCAGCAGAGGGAGCAAAACAAACCTGGCCACTACAGAGCAGCTCCAGATTTAAACCTGATGGCCTCAACTCTCTGAACCACTTACTTGATTGTCCTGGGGAAGGGAAACAACTCTATTTGGATAAAAATAAATCTTTGAATGGATTTTTAACTAGTTTTCAGAGTCGTGTGTACAGGAGCAACCAATAGACATACATGAGAGTTCGTACATTCAACTATGGTTTTTTACTTTCTTTCTTTGCTTTTTGCAGCTACGTCTAAGCAGATGCATGAGCTCCCTCACCTAGGGCTGGATAAAGTGATGTGTGCAGGATGACTAACTAGTACTGTTACCACTAGGACAGCTATAGCAACAGAGTTCATCTGCCCCCTCAACTAAATAAACCAGAAGTGTAATGTTACCTCTGGATGCCAGGGTGAGGAATGGGCCTGTGGATGGCCTGGTTCAGTGGAATGCATAGAAATATGTCCATTTCCAAATGTTGGAAACATGACACAGAATCTGGTAATGCCTTAAACTTGAGTTACTCAATAATTTAGTTTACAAAAGTGCAGTTTCTTTTCAGTGCCGTGTCTGAGGGTGCATTACATCAGAGTAATCATGAATGTGGAAAAAGTAAAATGAGATGTTATTCACCAAAAAGCCAGATAATGCCTTAAGAGGTTTGTAAAATCTGCTTGTCTCTGCTTTTCCAAGCTTTTTGGGAATAAACCAAAAACATTTTTGAGTGTTTTAAATTGTGACAAAAGAAAACATAATATATAATGTGATTTGTTTATAGACTGATCTTATTGTCCTTGTCTAAAAACAATAAACCTGATGATTTATTTTGCTTTGAATAAGCCTGAAACAGCAATTCTTGCCACAAACTTATTTCTGGGAGCTCATGTGACAGAGGGAATTAGAATTATACCAATGGTATTTTCAGCTTCTTGGCATTCACTGTTATTTATATATCAAATATATTACTTATTAAATCGAATGTAGGAATAGACTCTTTTTTTTTTAAGATTGAAAATATTAAAAGAAATTAATCCAGTGACTATAAAACACTAGTTGCCAAATGTTATAGTAAATTAAAATTCAAGATTTTTACTACCTTGCCTTCAAACCCAAAACATTAGAAGTCATAAAATTCAGCCACTTCAGAATCAGAAAACGTCACGAGTAGTTTTGCTTAAGCATGTGTGTAAAAAAGCTACTTCTATAGTATTCTATTACTACTTTCTTTACTAGGCTGTCACTGTTTGCAGCTCAATAAATAGACAGTGGGCATGTGTTAAAGAGACTTTCCCACATGGCTTAGCTGGGTCTCTGCATTCTTTTGCTCCTGATATCAAGCAGCATTTGACTAACTGCTGATTTACGGGATCTCCTCTGATCCCCTCTGCCTCAGCTTCATGCTACAACTCATGATCAGCACAGATGAGATACCTGGTGTAAAACTTACCTAAGCACTAAGCTTGGCATTAACTAAATTAGCTAAAATAGAAAATGCCAAGCAAGCTTGGTTTTGGGCATTGCTACCTTTAGCACCTAAAACAAAAAGAGATTTGAATGTTAGAGACAGATGCACGTAATCAAATCAATAGCGTAAATAACTATAGCATGCCTATAGGGGTTTTCCCCTTTTTATTCTGATAGACATTGTCCTCTGATGGAAGACCAGAGAAATCAGGGAGGGTTGTTTGCTTTATTTGTTCTGCTTATTTTTGTTTTAATGTTATCTTAACATAGAGGATTATCTTCTAGGAAATACAGGCAAACTTTAGAGAACACTAGCATGGGTTTGTTATAAAATGGAGGTGCTTCTTCCAGTTAGTGATAGGACTTCTTTTGAAAAGCCCCTTTCATTGTATTTGAAATCAAAACACACAAAATCTGAAATTAATGCATTCACTTAAAAATGAATGTAGGTTGTAATGTTCCTATGAAACCCAACCTCTTCACCCTTTTCATTGCTGTTGCTTTTATTACAGACTTATAATAGCATTGTGTGATTTAACAGCCTTTCCAAAAAGCCAGTGGCAACAATAAGCACTTTCCACTTCCCCTTCTTTTAAATGTCTAGTTCAAGTGAGAATGAATTTAAGACTAAGAAGTTCTAAGAAGGATGGTAGTGGGAAGCCTGGTTTCACTTTGGGTGCGTGAGATGGATTCTTTCTTCTGAGGAGCAACAATGTCCTCCCACTGCAGCCTTTCCCTCAGTGAGACTGTTGCTAGAATCTTTTCTCTGCATCCAAGTTATCTCCTTCCATGAAGCCCTGTAAAACTTAATGACAGTGCATCCTCAGCCAAGTTTAACCAGTGGGTTAAGAAATCATCGACACTGTTGATTAAAAAGGCACTGACATACGTATTCATACAAAATGCTCAGTATGCTCCTTTCAGTCTTAGGTTTTTCTGGAAAAGAAGCCTGAAAACTCTCCCTATTGCCAGTCCTGAGAAAGTCACTCACACACCATTTCTTGTAGTTAGATGCTTAGGTTTTATATCCGATGTGCTGACCTCCGCAGTACAGCTTACACAGGCTGAGCCGTTCCAGGCTGTGGAAAGCCCCGGGAGCCCCCGCCCGCTCCCGCATCTT